GGGCAATAATTAATACTCTCACGGCTTTTCCTCATCAGCTGTTACAGAGAGTCTGCCAGAGATGGGGTCTAGAGTGATATCTTCTCAAGTTACAAACAATATTTTCACACTCAGGTAGTGTGGCACAGCACAGTGGGTGGGTCCCTAACAGATACTCATCTCTTTAGGGGCAAAGCAGTATACAGAGTTCCATCTCTGGTCATGAGGTCCCATGGCTCAGAAGGCATGTCTCAAGATAAGTTTTGCCACCATGAAATATTCGATGAGAAAACAGGTAGTGCGATAAGCTGAAATTTAACACTGCAGCTGGATTTCAGGTGTAGTTACAACAAATTGGAGAGAAATGGAAAGCTATTTCAAGAGTCTTGGAAACTCACAAAGACATATAAGAAAATACACTTCAATCTATTCCACAAAAGAATCACAGGTTCTCCTAACTTTCAGCCCAGTGTTCTTGCCACTACATCATTTTTCCTGCCATCGACATTGTCCTATGATATTTCCTTTTTTTAAAATAGGAATGCTGGGGCCTAAGAAGAAATATTCAAATGTTTGGGAAAGATTTCAAGTATTTTTCTGGCTTTTCATTTCTTCTTTTATTTATAGTCCAATTAAATTTTAAAAAGTAGTTGTCGCCCAGAGGCACAGACTGTCTCATAGTTTTATTGTCTACCATATAGCCTTGCTAAATACATATTTATCAATTGAATCTTTAAATTTACAAGTAAAAATTTACTGTGCTACAAAAATATAAACTCACAGGTAAAAACTCTTGGTCGTTTGGTGGAAGATCATGGAAACATTTAATTTCTAAATGCCAACACAATGGATACTAGGGAATTAATTTTAAAGAAGCATTGTGAACAGCCTTCACTTAAATCCTTAATAGATTCCAATTTGATTCTCCTGCATATATTATAGCAATTTGAATCTGCTTACTTTGATACTCAAGGGTGATAACAATTAGTAAAAATATCTATAGGGCAATTTATTTTATCCTTCAATCAGAACTTCCTATTGGATAGGAACTTCCTATGGGGTTGGATAAAGGATTAAGAGAGAAAAAGAAGAGAGAAAAAAGTAAAAGGAGCAGACCCTGATTATTTCTGTTAACTAATAAACACAATAATTACTACGTAAAGTACCTGGCATATATATACAACAGAGCTCTAGAAATGGAAAGTTACTTTTAAAAAAGTAATGTTCAACCTCTTAATGTCTATGCAGCCCTGTTACATCAAAGAATGATTAACCATTGCATGAAAACATGTATTCAAGTTATATAACTTACGGTATAAACTATTATGGCTTTGGAAGGAAGAGGAGGTGTGAAGAGATCAGGGAATTCTGAAACCAAGCTTATTATCCTAGGACTAATCTTTGTCAAGTTACAAACTCTCTGAGCCTCAGTTTCTTTGCCCATAAAATGAGGAGATTACAGACTTTATGATACCTGAAGTTCCCTTCCAAATCCATAATTCTTTTATGGATTAAATGGTAAAAGCAGGGATAAAGAAGCTATGGAAAGCTTTGACTGAATATACAGTCAGTTCTACTGTAACACATTTTGAAAATGCAAATGTGTTCTAATGTCAACTGATATATTAAGGAATAATCTAAGCATAATTTAATTTTTGCATTTGCTTATTTGTCATTTAATTCACAAGAAAAACTGAATGAATCCAGAAAACTGCACTCAGTTGAACTCTTCAGGATAGGAACATACAAAGCACATACAAGCATACCCTCAAATATCTCCCAGCTTCTTCAGTTTACTGTGTGTTGTGAGCCACATCCATCCATATTTGGCATTATAACTTTCTGTCATATTTCAGATAATCCTTCCACTAATTCATAGGCTGCAACCCTTCCAATGCCACTTCTATAAGCAAACTTGAGGTCTTTTTCAAGGTAAACTAAATGTACCTTCTAAATTCAGACCTCGATCCTGGAAGAAAATCTTGGCATATGCCAGTATAAAAATGCCGCCTTCTTAATAATGGGTTATTAAATAGCTACTCATTATCTACCATAAAAAGATATGAAGCAAAAAAAATATACTTCTGCAATGTAGTTATAACAATGCAGGAGAAACCACAGAACCTTTACAAACATTCCCTTCTAATTCTGGATAAACTCTGAGGTAAAGTTGGCTAGTGAAATAAAGCAGGTCATGCATGTTTCCTAGTTTCTATGCAGACTAGAAATAGGAGACAGACCCAAATCACTTAGCATTAAAGCCAGAGGTTGGCTAAAACCTGTCACTCAGAGCCAAAGGGCAGATAAAAATAATGCTGCTAGTTAGCATGCTCAGGAAAGATAGGGAACACAATTATTTTGCCTTTTTGAATGAATCCAGACTTAAAACCAGGACTGATAACCGAAGTAACAAACATAAATATAGTACAGTATGTACTCCTACGTGTCCTGCAAAGTTATTTGGCCATTACAGTCTTGATCCTGGCACCATTTCTTAAAGAACTAAAACATTATTTTAAAAAAAATAATTGAGATTTTTGTTAAGTATGCACGTACATATGCACATATGTATGCAAAAGAAAAAAGTAAAAGAAAAAACATCCAAATGGTAACAGTGGTTTACTGTTTGGTTAATGAGATTATGGATGATTATTTTTCTTATTAATAGCTTTATTTTATTCAATAAATATATATTACTTTTAACATCAGAGGAAAGAGTTAATTAAAAGAGTTGAATCCCTGATCACAGTACATGTAGAATTCACAGTAAGCCATCAAATGTCTCTTCTACTTTCCAAAGGGTCAAAGATGAGTAGGCTGGATTTGAATGGCACTTCTCATCATGTAGGAAAACCTAAAACGAACTCTGAATGAAAATTTTCAACCATAGAAAAGTGGACAAGCACAATGACAGATACTACACACTCAGCAAATATATCTAACTTGTTTGTCCTTGCTTTTATCAGCCAGTATTCTGAAAAATCTTCACCTTTTGGGTATGGCTAATATAGAGTCACTTAACCAAATGTAAGCTCCTGGAAACAGAGAATATGGAAATATGATATAACCAGAGACAACCAGTGACAAAAGCCTAAGAAATGACAAAAGGCCACTGTGGATTTTACAGTTGGCTTTCTCCCAACATCACTATCCCAATAATGATGAATATTCATTTCCCAAGTAAGAAAGAATGTATAGGCTAAATACTAGGTACACAGCACTACCCTAGACACTACGGGAAACACAAAAAAATAAGGTGCAATCATTCACAATCCGATGGGGAAAGACATGACATACATAACAGAAATATTTACATAATAAAAGACAACAAAATTAAATGGCTAAATGAGCTATAAAGAAATATTTAAGGCATTTAAGGAAAGACTGTTCACTATGGACTTATATAGTTGGGAAAAGTCTTCAGAGAGCAAGAGAGTAGTCACCAAGATAAGCAAAATTATTGGGGCAGAAAAAACAATGGTGAGTCTGGATGGACTAGAATAAAAATCAGGTTGGGGAACAATAAAAATAAGAAAGGAGAGACAGATTTGGGCAGATTATAAATCCTCTTAAGGGTTCCTTTACCACTAATCTATTGATAAACCGATTTCTGACTAAGAACATTTGTGGGAAAATCTATATACCAAAAACTATTTTCTAAATATGACAGATATACTATCTAATCTCATATAAATCTTCCAATGTAAATATCATTATTCCCATTTTCCAGATACAAAACTTAAATTAGTTAAAGAGAAGTTAACTAATTTGCCAAAGCTCACTAAAATAATAGACCTGAGATTTTAACTCAGGCTTACTTGACTCCAATATCCATGCTCATTTTTACTGCCTTATGCTACCTCTCCCTAAAACATAGCTCTGACAACATTTCACTCTTTTGACTACCCAGTGTCCCCTTGGTGATCCCTTGTACACCAAAGCATGCTCTCAGGAACGTACCTGCAGCTAAAATGAAGATGACCAATAACAGTTTACCCTGCCGGGGGCGGGGGTATTTCCATTGTTATAGGAATCAGAGGCTGAACTTAGAAGAAAGTGTTCATATAAGCTACTTAGTCGACTACATACATATTTTACCTTCTTAGGGGGCCAGGCCAAGTTTGTATCTTATGATGTCCATTTCCTTAGCTGATAGCTAAAGCTCACACAACAAGAATCTCACTCATAAGCCCAGAGGGCCTCCACGAAAGTCTAACGAGCCCCAATCTGGGAGACAAAAGGCCAGATATGGCTGCAGGTTTGCTTCAGAAGAGAACTGAGAAATCCTGGTATTTTGCATTTTAAGTATATAACATAAGAAAACCTAAACCAAATGTATGTGACATTTAAATTGTTAAAAGCTTCTTTAACAGACAAATTGCCCAAAAATGTGCTTTCTAATAATTCTATAAAATAATTTTTTACTGTCTCTAGGAACCAGGAGAACTTACTTTATTGTTCTTACCTTTTCCGCTATCAAGAATTTTACTGGTATCAAATGGCAAAAATGTCATCTTTCAAAGCAACTGAAATAAAATCTATGTAGGATCTCAGAGTGAGTAAAGACAAATGGGTAGAAGGGCACAGGCCCTGACAGATATTGCTCCATGGACTAACTATGAAAACAGCCTTACTGTCTATTTGCTAAAACCTGAATATACTAATAGAATATACTAGGTCAAATGTCTACTGATAACTTGAAAGTTCTCCACCAAGTATTTTAATGGGCCAAGAAATGTTACAGATTTTCAGAATGTGTTTCAAAATGAGATTCAAATTCATCATAAGAAAATTTCCAGCCCAGCTTAGAAAATATGTTGTTATATGTTTTACATAGAAAATAAAGGAGGTAATTTAAAAATAAAAGTGATACTATTCATTCTTTCTCAAAAGTTATACCCCTCACCCTAAAGAAATCACTTTCTAAAAAATTCCCATTTCATCAATTTTCTAATATGTATGCCAGCAGATTTTAGGGGTAGACTCTTTTCAAAGTAGTAACAGGAGAATGTTTCCCTTACATATCTGGATGGCTCCTCTAGGTTCTGGTCATTCATGTTGGCGGGAACAATCCGGGTAGCCAGTGGTCCCTCCGCAAAAGGTTTTGGTAACTGACCCCTGAACTCTGATGGAATGAATTGAAGCTGCCAACTGTCAGAAACACAAATAAGTAGAATAAGAAAAACACAGGGGACTCATATTGCTAAATGTACTAGAAACAAGTCAAAAAAAAAAAAAATTCACATGAAAAACATTTCATTTCACTTGGAGAAAAAAAATATTTCTGCTAAAACCTCAACCAGGGAGCAGAGAGGCAGAGGTCACAATTATGTCCAAACTTGTTGAGAAATTTTCAGCTAGAGGTCTCTTAACCTATTTCACCAACTTTCAGCAATGAAATTTGCAACCAAATGGTCATGCCACCAAACAACCAGAGAAGCATCAAAGTTTATTGCTAATTACCACACCGTCAGAGGGACTTATGAAAATTAAAGCAAATCCATCAGGTAGATAGAAGAGTGAAATGTAAGAACTCACCGTAACCTGACATCCCTTTTCCCTAAATAGGGCTCTTTTCTGTCCAAATTAAGCAAATAAGGAACTCCAGAACCTATACTATCACATCCAGCAACAGACAGCTTAAAGGAATGCTGAACAGATGTCTTAACCAGAGCTTTTCCCAGTGTCCAGACATTGGTGAACTTTCACTGTTGTTGAATAATAAACATTTCTTCTCTAAAAAGACTCTTCTTCCTGGAGTTTCTAGATCACTTTTAGAAGTGAACTAATATCAGACAATTATAGAAATTTAAATATAAATCTTTAGGAAGTACCACCAGCAGAAGCCCAGGGCCCAAAGTGTCTTTAGAAGACCCCAGACCTCTGTGGTTAAGGGCAGTGCAGGGTGCATAACCAGACACAGTACTCAGTCGACTGAACACAGACGATGGATGCACACACAGTACAGACCCCCCAACTCTCAAAATGGTAAATTATTCAGAAACTTTTTGTGAAAAATCCAAAATGAAAGAAAAATTAAGAAGACAGTGCCAAAGAATTGTTATTTTACTCCTTAACTTAAAACTCTAGGAATTAAAGGACAACTTACTTATCGGGCAGAAAGAAGCTGCTAGGAAATCGATACCACTCTTTTCCTACACAGACATTAACAGGTCGGCCTTCTGGGACAGTGTGGATGCTTGGGTCTGTAGCAATTCGGTAAAATTCTGGATACAAATCAAGGGGCCCATGATACCCTGGAAGGGAGAAAGATTTGTGAAAGCCAAAGATAAGTAAGATGAGATTCTGACATTTAATTATAATGCATGCTAATGTCCCACTGTAATCCACATGATGTTTAAGAGTATGAAGGTTCAGAGCAACTCCAGCAGGAAGCACACTCTACTGATATAAAAAGTCTCTATTTAGTTAGAAAGATGGTTACAGCAGAGGTCCTATTTTACTTAAAATAATTTTTTTTAAACCCTTCCATGCTTTAAACTTCATGTTCTCAAGCACACTTTAATATTCTGGATCCAAATAAAGATATAAGTAAAAATATAATCACAGGAATTGAACCCCAAATTTGCATCCTAAGTTTAAAACTTCCTTAATTCACCTTTTAAAAGGAAAAAGCATCCTTTTAAGAAAAAAAAGTCAATGAGAACAGAGAAAAAATTTATAGTTAATCACACTAAAAGGAATTCTCAATCTTCTCTTCAATCTTAAGGTATAGATGTCATATCCCAGTCTTAATGTTAAGTCCACAGATTCTCCTTATAGAAAAATGCTCCTCCCAGCTTAAGCTGAATTGTATTAAACAATCATGCATTACGCAAAGCCAAGGTGAAGGAAGGGCCTCGCAAGTATGGGTTGAGACATTCTCCGTTTATCTACCTCTGAACAGTGCCACAGAGCGAGAAAAGGATAAGAGTCCAAACAGGAAGAGTGTTCCTAACGCCAGCCAATTTGATGTCACAGTATAATGCTCCAGGCGGTATCGCTGAAACACAAAGTGGTAACATTTCTAGAAGGAAAGAAAACTGTGTTGAAATAAAAAGATACACCTTGCAGAATTTACATAATCACAAAACATCACAGTAACACCAAGACGGAAAAAGTCTGAGCATTTGCAAACAGTGAGGTACCCACTCCAAGTTCTAAGATTAAAGCTGCAAGTCAGCCCAGCCAGAGGGCTTGCTGAGGATTAAATCTCGGTAACTTCATAGGAAAATTATTTGGATATTTCTCTAGTGCAGAGAGTGCTAATTATTTATTTATTTTTAAAATTTAAACAAAAATTCTTCTTGGTAGCTTTTTTCGATATATGAAGTATCTCAATCTATTTTGATATAATGAGTATTAATCTTTACTTTCCTAGTGGAGACGTTTTCATCAAAGTTTTTAGTACCAACAAAATGTCGTATGATTAAACAAGAAAAAAGAATTTCTCTCAAAGAACATTAGGAAAATGGTGTTAATTATCTGCTAAACTATGTTACAGACTAGATTAATATTATTACGATATACATATACATGCATGAATTCTGCAGTCTTTGAGTATCAT